TTGCAAGAACAAGGGTCTAGCGTGTGCAAAATTGCAAGAACATGGGCCTAGCGTGTGCAAAATAGCAAAAGCAAGGGCCTAGTGGGTGCAAAAAACGAAGATCAAGGGCCTAGCGTTCGCGAAATAGCAAGAACAAGGGCCTAGCATGTGCAAAATAAAAAAAACAAGGGCCTAGCGTGTGAAAAATAAAATAAACAAGGGCCTAGCGTGTGCAAAATTGCAAGAACAAGGGCCTAGCGTGTGTAAAATTGCAAGAACAAGGGCCTAGCGAGTGCAAAATAGCAAGAGCAAGGGCCTAGCGTGTGCAAAAAATCAAGAACAATGGCCTAGCCTTCGCGAAATAGCAAGAGCAAGGGCCTAGCGTGTGCAAAATAAAAAGAACAAGGGTCTAGCATGTGCAAAATTGCAAGAACAAGGGCCTAGCGTGTGCAACAAATCAAGAACAAGGGCCTAGCGTTCGTGAAATAGCAAGAACAAGGGCCTAGCGTGTGCAAAATATAAAAAACAAGGGTCTAGCATGTGCAAAATTGCAAGAACAAGGGCCTAGCGTGTGCAAAATAAAAAGAACAACGGCATAGCGTGTGCAAAATAGCAAGAACAAGGGCCTAGCGTGTGCAAAATGAAAAGAACAAGGGCCTAGCGTGTGCAAAATTGCAAGAACAAGGGCCTGGCGTGTGCAAAATTGCAAGAACAAGGGCCTAGCGTGTGCAAAATTGCAAGAACAAGGGCCTAGCGTGTGCAAATTTGCAAGAACAAGGGTCTAGCGTGTGCAAAATTGCAAGAACATGGGCCTAGCGAGTGCAAAATAGCTAGAGCAAGGGCCTAGCGTGTGCAAAAAATCAAGAACAAGGGCCTAGCCTTTGCGAAATAGCCAGAGCAAGGGCCTAGCGTGTGCAAAATAAAAAGAACAAGGGTCTAGCATGTGCAAAATTGCAAGAACAGAGGCCTAGCGTGTGCAAAATTGCAAGAACAAGGGCCTAGCGTGTGCAAAAAATCAAGAACAAGGGCCTAGCGTTCGTGAAATAGCAAGAACAAGGGCCTAGCGTGTGCAAAATATAAAGAACAAGGGTCTAGCATGTGCAAAATTGCAAGAACAAGGGCCTAGCATGTGCAAAATAAAAAGAACAAGGGCATAGCGTGTGCAAAATAGCAAGAACAACGGCCTAGCGTGTGCAAAATAAAAAGAACAAGGGCCTAGCGAGTGCAAAATTGCAAGAACAAGGGCCTGGCGTGTGCAAAATTGCAAGAACAAGGGCCTAGCGTGTGCAAAATTGCAAGAACAAGGGCCTAGCGAGTGGAAAATAGCAAGAGCAAGGGCCTAGCGTGTGCAAAAAATCAAGAACAAGGGCCTAGCCTTCGCGAAATAGCAAGAGCAAGGGCCTAGCGTGTGCAAAATAAAAAGAACAAGGGTCTAGCATGTGCAAAATTGCAAGAACAAGGGCCTAGCAAGTGCAACAAATCAAGAACAAGGGCCTAGCGTTCGTAAAATAGCAAGAACAAGGGCCTAGCGTGTGCAAAATATAAAGAACAAGGGTCTAGCATGTGCAAAATTGCAAGAACAAGGGCCTAGCGTGTGCAAAATAAAAAGAACAACGGCATAGCGTGTGCAAACTAGCAAGAACAAGGGCCTAGCGTGTGCAAAATGAAAAGAACAAGGGCCTAGCGTGTGCAAAATTGCAAGAACAAGGGCCTGGCGTGTGCAAAATTGCAAGAACAAGGGCCTAGCCTGTGCAAAATTGCAAGACCAAGGGCCTAGCGAGTGCAAAATAGCAAGAGCAAGGGCCTAGCGTGTGCAAAAAATCAAGAACAAGGGCCTAGCCTTCGCGAAATAGCAAGAGCAAGGGCCTAGCGTGTGCAAAATAAAAAGAACAAGGGTCTAGCATGTGCAAAATTGCAAGAACAAGGGCCTAGCGTGTGCAACAAATCAAGAACAAGGGCCTAGCGTTCGTGAAATAGCAAGAACAAGGGCCTAGCGTGTGCAAAATATAAAGAACAAGGGTCTAGCATGTGCAAAATTGCAAGAACAAGGGCCTAGCGTGTGCAAAATAAAAAGAACAACGGCATAGCGTGTGCAAAATAGCAAGAACAAGGGCCTAGCGTGTGCAAAATGAAAAGAACAAGGGCCTAGCGTGTGCAAAATTGCAAGAACAAGGGCCTGGCGTGTGCAAAATTGAAAGAACAAGGGCCTAGCCTGTGCAAAATTGCAAGACCAAGGGCCTAGCGAGTGCAAAATAGCAAGAGCAAGGGCCTAGCGTGTGCAAAAAATCAAGAACAAGGGCCTAGCGTTTGCGAAATAGCAAGAACAAGGGTCTAGCATGTGCAAAATTGCAAGAAAACAAGGGCCTAGCGTGTGCAAAATACAAAGAACAAGGGCATAGCGTGTGCAAAATTATAAGAACAAGGGCCTAGCCTATGCAAAATAAAAAGAACAAGAGCCTAGCGTGTGCAAAATTGCAATAACAAGGGCCTAGCGTGTGCAAAATTGCAAGAACAAGGGCCTAGCGAGTGCAAAATAGCAAGAACAAGGGCCTAGCGTGTGCAAAAAATCAAGAACAAGGGCCTAGCGTTCGCGAAATAGCAAGAACAAGGGCCTAGCGTGTGCAAAATAAAAAGAACAGGGGTCTAGCATGTACGAAATCGCAAGAACAAGGGCCTAGCGTGTGCAAAATAAAAAGAACAAGGGCATAGCGTGTGCAAAATTGCAAGAACAAGGGCCTAGTATGTGCAAAATGGCAAGAACAAGGGCCTAACGTGAGCAAAATTGCAAGAACAAGGGTATAGCGAGTGCAAAATTGCAAGAACAAGGGCCTAGCGTGTGCAAAATAAAAAGAACAAGGGCATAGTGTGTGCAAAATAGCAAGAACAAGGGCCAAGCGTGTGCAAAATAAAAAGAACAAGGGCCTAGCATGTGCAAAATTGCAAGAACAAGGGTCTAGCGTGTGCAAAATTGCAAGAACATGGGCCTAGCGTGTGCAAAATAGCAAGAGCAAGGGCCTAGTGTGTGCAAAAAATCAAGAACAAGGGCCTAGCGTTCGCGAAATAGCAAGAACAAGGGCCTAGCGTGTGCAAAATAAAAAGAACAAGGGTCTAGCATGTGCAAAATTGCAAGAACAAGGGCGTAGCGTGTGCAAAATAAAAAGAACAAGGGCATAGCGTGTGCAAAATTGCAAGAACAAGGGCCTAGTATGTGCAAAATGGCAAGAACAAGGGCCTAATGTGAGCAAAATCGCAAGAATAAGGGTCTACGGAGTGCAAAATTGCAAGAACAAGGGCCTAGCGTGTGCAAAATAAAAAGAACAAGGGCATAGCGTGTGCAAAATAGCAAGAACAAGGGCCTAGCGTGTGCAAAATAAAAAGAACAAGGGCCTAGCGTGTGCAAAATTGCAAGAACAAGGGTCTAGCGTGTGCAAAATTGCAAGAACATGGGCCTCGCGAGTGCAAAAAAGCAAGAGCAAGGGCCTAGCGTGTGCAAAAAAGCAAGAACAAGGGCCTTGCGTTCGCGAAATAGCAAGAACAAGGGCCTAGCGTGTGCAAAATAAAAAGAACAAGGGTCTAGCATGTGCAAAATTGCAAGAACAAGGGCGTAGCGTGTGCAAAATAAAAAGAACAAGGGCATAGCGTGTGCAAAATTGCAAGAACAAGGGCCTAGTATGTGCAAAATGGCAAGAACAAGGGCCTAACGTGAGCAATATTGCAAGAACAAGGGTCTAGCGAGTGCAGAATTGCAAGAACAAGGGCCAAGCGTGTGCAAAATAAAAAGAACAAGGGCATAGCGTGTGCAAAATAGCAAGAACAAGGGCCTAGCGTGTGTAAAATAAAAAGAACAAGGGCCTAGCGTGTGCAAAATGTCAGAACATTATAGCTGATACATGTTTGTAGGCTGTAGTGGGGTAGTACATATGGGGTACAGATTCCTAGGGTTTGTCATTTGTACCAATTTCTGACTTAGTCATTTCATTCCTCTTCTCATTGTTTCACATGGTATAGAGCTAGGTCCCTCCAGGACCGATTTTTTTTGGGCCCACCGAAGCGCGCCCCGAGGCGCGGTTTTTTTTAGCAACCCCTCGAGTCGCCCTCTCCCCTGCGGCCTCGCCGCCCACTCTGTCGCGGCCCCGCCCTGACCCTTACGCGGCCCCGCCGCCTGCTCCTTACGCGGCCCCGCGCCGGCCCCTTACGCAGCCCTTACGCGGCCCCGCGCCGGCTCCTAAGCGGCCCCGCGCCGGCTCCTACGCGGCCCCGCCGCCTGCTCCTTACGCGGCCCCGCCCCGGCCCCTTACGCGGCCCTTACGCGGCCCCGCGCCGGCTCCTAAGCGGCCCCGCGCCGGCTCCTACGCGGCCCCGTCCCCGGCTCCTACTCGGCCCCGCCCCGGCTCCTACGCGGCCCCGTCCGCCGGCCCCTTACGCGGCCCAGCCGCCGGCCCCTTACGCGGCCCCGCGCCGGCCCCTTACGCGGCCCCGCGCCGGCCTCCTACGCGGCCCTGCCCCGGCTCCTACGCGGCCCTGCCGCCGGCCTCTGCTTGGCCCTGCGCCGACCCCTGCGCGGCCCTGCCGCCTGCTCCAACGCGGCCCTGCCCCGGCTCCTAAGCCGGCCCTACCGCCGGCCCTGCCGCCGGCTCCAACGCGGCCCTGCCCCGGCTCCTACGCGGCCCTACCGCCGGCCACTTCGCGGCCCCGCCCCGGTTCTCTTACGCGACCCCGCCGCCTCACCTGCAGCAGTCGGGCGGCCGGGCAGCCGAACCGCCCAGTCGCCGAGCCGCCCGGGAGCCGAGTTGCCCTGCACCCGAGCCGTCCGTCGCCGAGCCGCCCGGGAGCCGAGCCGCCCTGCACCCGAGCCGCCCTGCCGCCGAGCCGCCCGGGAGCTGAGCAGCTGTACACCCGAGCCGCCCGGTCGCCGCTCTGCTTTTCTGTCGAGTTGCACGGCCTGCCCTGCCTGGTGAGCACAGTCCCTCTGTCACTGCGCCCTCTTTCCCTACTGCTTGCACTGCTTCGCTGTCGTCATCATGGCCACCCCTAGTGTCCTAGCCTTTGACGCCGAGGGTCGCGCCATTGATTTTGAGGTCTGGCTAGATGACCTGCAGCTTTTCTTACAGTGCGACAGAGCTGACAGCCTTTCTCTCTTTGACCTCACCTCTGGCGCCTCTCCTGCTCCTGCTGCCGATGCTGATCCCACTGTCCGCTCTCAGTGGGCCACCCGCGATGCTGCTGCACGTCTTGCTGTGCGTCGCCACCTCCCTACCTCTGAGCGTGCGCATTTTAGTCAGTACAAGAGTGCTCAGACCTTGTACGACGCTGTAGTTGCACGCTACTCCTCTCCTGCCACTGCTGCACTGAGCCGTCTCATGCTTCCCTACCTCTTTCCTGACCTCTCTGCCTTTCCCACTGTCACTGACCTCATTACGCACCTCCGCACTAGTGACACTCGCTACCGCGCCGCCCTTCCTGCTGAGTTCTGCGCTAAGAACCCCCCCCCCATGTACATCACTCTCTACTACGTAGTCGCACGCCTCCCTGACTCCCTCCGCGTAGTCAGGGACCACTTTCTCGCAGTCTGTCCCACCACTCTCACCGTCGACCTCCTCGAGAAGGCCCTCCTCGCAGCGGAGAAGAGCATAGTCGCTGTCGGTGCCTCTCGTGGTGACCCTCGCACCCCCATCTTTGAGGGGTGCTCTCCTTCCCCCTTGCTGCCCTCTGTTGCCTCTGCTGCTGCGGCCGACCTGCTTGGTCTTGAGTCGGTCGGCGCGGCGTCTGCCCCTAGTGGGAGACGTCGCTCTGGCAAGGGCAAGGGGGGCAAGGGCGCGGGCGGAGCTGGAGGGGGCGGTGGCGGTGGCGGCGGGGGCGGCGGAGGGAGTGGGGGTGGCGGCGGGAGTAGTGGTAGTGGTGGTGGTGGTGGTGGCAGCAGCGGCGGAGACGGTGGTGGTGGTGGCACCGGTGGTGGTGGAGGCAGCAGCGGGAGTGGAGGCGGTGGAGGTGGAGGCGGTGGAGGTGGAGGCGGTGGAGGCGGCGGCGGAGGAGGCGGTGGTGGTGGAGGAGGTGGAGCTGGTCGTGGTGGTACCCAGCAGCGGAGCGGCGGTGGTGGTGGCCAGCGCTCGCAGCGGCAGCAGCAGCAGCGTTCGCGGGACATCCCTCCGCCTCAGCAGCTTCGTGAGTGGTACACTGCGCGTCAGAGGGGTGGGGGTACTGGTCCCTGCGCCTACGTTCTTCGTTCCGGCGACCGCGCGGGTGAGCAGTGTGGGGGTGCCCACTCCACCCAGCGCTGCTTTGGCCACCTGACGGACGCTTGGCGTCAGAAGTTCCCCGGGGCTAGAGAGATCCCTCGCAGGGATGAGCTCCTTAGGGCTGGTGTAGCGATCTTTGATCTTGATTTTGATGCTATCCTTTCTGCTATGTATGCTGTGACTTATAGTGAGGAGAATGAGGGGTACCGGTGTTTCCAGCCCGACCCGGGCATTGGTACTACTGCCCTAGGTACTTGTGAGGCTGCTGCTCTAGGTGCCAGTGCGCCTGCGCTCTCAGGTACTAGTGAGACTGCGCTCTCAGGTGCTGGTGAGACTGCGCTCTCAGGTACTGCGTCGCCCTCGTCCTCCCTCACTTTCACACTTGACTCTGGGGCTTCTCGCTCCTTCTTTCGAGACCGCACTACCCTCACGCCACTTGGCCGACCGGTTGCGGTCTCCCTTGCTGACCCCTCTGGGGGTCCTGTCCTTTCTCACTTCTCCACTGTCCTCCCGTGTCCGGCTGCCCCTTCGGGCACCCTGTCTGGTCTGTACCTTCCCTCGTTCTCTACGAACTTGGTGAGTGGTGCGGACCTACAGGATGCGGGGGTTCACCAGTTCACTCCTGCGAGGCGGCGGGTGACCCACTGCACGGACGCAGACACAGGCCGACACCTGGCCACCTTTTCGCGTCGGCCGGGGTCGAGTCTCTACACCCTGACCACTTCGTCTCCTCCTGTCCCTGTGTCTGGTCAGGTAGCTGCGTCAGGTCAGGTGTTTGCTGCTGCGTCCCGGTCAGGTCCTGAGTCTGCACCCTGTTCCTGTCGCCTCCTGTCTCACGAGACTCTCCTGTGGCACCACCGTCTAGGCCACCCCTCCTTGGCTCGTCTTCGGAGCATGGCTTCCCGTGTCCTTGTCTCTGGTCTTCCCCGGTCTCTCCCTCCTCCCCCCCCCGGGCCAGGGCCTTCCTGTGTCCCCTGTGTCGAGGGTCGCCTCCGGGCTACTCCTCACTCTTCCCACTTCCCCCCGACAGAGGCTCCGCTGCAGACGCTTCACATGGATGTGTGGGGCCCGGCCCCCGTCCGTGGGCAGGGTTACGAGCGCTACTTCCTGTTGGTGGTTGACGACTACTCGCGTTACACCACAGTCCTCCCCTTGCGCAGCAAGGGTGCTGTCACTGAGGTGCTGATCGACTGGATCCGCGAGGCTCGTCTCCAGCTCAGGAAGAGCTTCGGCTCTGACTTTCCTGTTCTGCGTCTGCACTCGGACAGAGGCGGAGAGTTCTCCTCTCGCCTTCTGCGAGACTACTGTCGTGCACGGGGGATCCGCCAGACCTTCACGCTTCCGGACTCACCACAGCAAAATGGGATTGCTGAGCGCCGCATTGGCATGGTCATGGATGTCGCTCGTACGTCCATGATGCATGCGGCTGCCCCCCATTTTCTGTGGCCGTTTGCGGTGAGGTACGCGGCCCATCAGCTCAACCTTCACCCGCGGGTCTCTAGGCCTGCGATGTCCCCAGCCTTGCTGTGGACGGGGAAGGTTGGCGATGCGTCTGTGTTTCGTGTCTGGGGATCTCGGGCGTTTGTCCGCGACTTGACTGCGGACAAGCTGTCCCCTCGTGCTGCTCCCTGTGTCTTCCTTGGCTTCCCCGCTGACGCCCCAGGGTGGCAGTTCTACCACCCCTCCTCTCGTCGTGTTCCGTCCTCACAGGACGTCACGTTCGACGAGTCGGTCCCCTTCTACCGTCTCTTCCCCTCCCGCACCCCTTCCCTCCCCCCTCCCTCGGACTTCCTTGTGCCGGTTCCCCCCCCGGTAGACCCCCTTCCCCCTCAGGTTCCTGCTCCCTCAGGTGTGTCCCAGGTAGACGCCGTTGACCCGGTCGAGGTTACTGGTGACTCTGGTGCTGCTGCGGGTGCTGAGCCTGGGGGTGCTGACTCTGGGGGTGCTGTCCGCGGGGGTGCTGAGCCTGGAGGAGCTGCTGCTGGGGGTCCTGAGCCTGGGGGTGCTAGTGCGGAGGGTGCGGAGCCTAGGAGTGCTGCGCCGGGGGGTGCTGTCACTGGAGGTGCTGGGTCTGGGGGTGCTGAGTCGGGAGCTGCTGAGCCTGGGGGTGCTGAGTTGGGAGCTGCTGCGCCTGGGGGTGCTGTGTCTGGAGCTGCTGAGCCTGGGGGTGCTGCGTCTGGAGCTACTGCGCCTGGGGTTTCTCCTGCTTCTCAGCCTCCCCGGGAGCCTCTCTCTCCACAGGAGCTGCGCGAGTGGTTCGCTCGTCGTTGGAGGCGTGCTGCTGAGTCTGGGGGTGCTGCTGGAGCTGGAGCTGGACCTTCTTCGACTGACGAGGGTGCTGGTGCTGCCGGTCCCGGAGCTGCTGGGCCTGCGGGTCCTCTTGGAGCTGGCGCTGCTGAGGGTGTTGGTGCTGAGACTGCTGCTGTTGGTCCTGCTGCTGGAGGAGTTGGTGGCCCTGGTGCTGTCGCTGAGGGTGCTGGAGCTGTCCCTGCTGCGCCTGGAGCTGCAGAGCGGCCTCGACCGTACTTCGTTCCGCTACTGCAGCAGGTTCTTGGTCTTTCTCCTCCGGTAGAGAGTCCACCGCGTGTCCAGTCGCAGTCCCTGCTGGAGCCTTCCTCTCCGCTACCTGCTCCCTCTCCTTACACTGGTCCTACTGGAGGTCTTGCTGAGCGTCGTGAGCCTGCGTCTTGTCCTGCGTCGCCTGTTCGTCCTGCTCGCGCTACTGGTCGCGGTTCGCGTCAGCGTCCTCCTCCTGTCCCTGGCACGCACCAGATGTCTTTGCGTCCGTCCACTGCTCCTCTGCGTGCCCCTTTGCCTTCTCCTCCTGCGTCCTCTCTTCCTGCGCTTGCCGACCCTGCGTCGGACTCTCTGCGTGCTGCCAGTCCTACTGTCACGCGTTTCCTTGCTACTGTGGTCACTGACCCTTCTTTCGAGTCTTCTGCTGCGTCTGCCCTACTCACTGAGCTTGTCGACTTTGCTGCTCGCTGTCGCTTAGACTACGCTGCTAGTCTTGTTGCTGAGTCTGCGTCTGTCTGTCCTCCGTCCGTCGGGGGTGAGTGTGCTCTTGGCACGGACGTCCTAGAGGACAGGCAGGAGGAGTTACAGTGTCTAGCGGCTGCTTCACCTCATCTCGCGTCTGTACTGCTTGCCCCTGAGGGAGACCCGGATGCACTAGACATCCCGACTCCGCGTTCTTACGCGGAGGCTGTAGAGGGTCCCTACTCCTCTCAGTGGCAGGCAGCTATGGATGCAGAGATGGCTTCCTGGAAGTCCACAGGCACCTACGTTGACGCAGTTCCCCCTCCTGGGGCGAACATCGTCAGTGGCATGTGGATCTTCAGGGTGAAGCGGCCGCCGGGCTCTCCGCCTGTCTTCAAGGCGCGTTACGTCGCTCGTGGCTTCAGTCAGCGGCAGGGAGTTGACTACTTTCAGACCTTCTCTCCCACCCCGAAGATGACTACTCTTCGGGTACTGCTGCACGTTGCCGCTCAGCGCGACTACGAGCTTCACTCTCTCGACTTCAGCACTGCGTTCCTGCAGGGTAGCCTGCACGAGGAGATCTGGCTGCGCCGTCCGCCTGGCTTCACTGGGACTTTCCCTCCTGGCACCCAGTGGAGCCTCCGACGGCCAGTCTACGGTCTCCGCCAGGCACCGCGTGAGTGGCACGACACACTGAGGACTACACTTGCGGCTCTTGGGTTTGCTCCTTCCACTGCTGACCCGTCGCTGTTTCTTCGCAGCGACACTTCCTTGCCGCCGTTCTACATCCTCGTGTACGTCGACGACTTGGTCTTTGCCACAGCGGACACTGCTGGACTCGCCTACGTGAAGTCCGAGCTGCTGAAGAGACACACGTGCACAGACCTGGGTGAACTGCGCAGCTACCTTGGCTTGCAGATCCCTCGGGACAGAGCACGCCGCACCATTACCCTGACTCAGTCACACATGGTGCAGCAGGTCCTTCAGCGCTTCGGCTTCACGTACTCCTCGCCTCAGGCCACTCCTCTGCCTACTCGCCACTCGCTCTCAGCTCTGCCTTCGGATGAGTCCGTAGAGTCGAGTGGCCCGTATGCAGAGCTTGTTGGCTGCCTCATGTACCTGATGACCTGCACACGACCTGACCTTGCATACCCTCTGAGCATCCTTGCACGCTATGTTGCTCCTGGGAGACACCGACCTGAGCACATGGCTGCAGCGAAGAGGGTATTGCGCTACCTGTGCAGTACGTCGGGCATGGGGCTAGTGCTTGGAGGGCGGAGTCCAGTGGTCCTTACGGGCCACGCGGACGCTTCTTGGGCTGACGACCAGGCTACCCAGCGGTCATCACAGGGTTACACCTTCAGTCTTGGTTCCGGCTCTGTCTCGTGGCGGTCTACTCGCTCGTCTTCGGTTCTCGGCTCCAGTTGTGAGGCTGAGATCTACGCCGGGGCCATGGCTGCACAGGAGCTTCGCTGGCTCACCTACCTGCTGACTGACCTTGGAGAGCTGCCTCGTTCTCCTCCAGTGCTGTACGTAGACAACAAGGCCATGTTGGCCTTGTGTCGAGAGCAGCGCTTGGAGCACAGAACGAAGCACATTGCTCTCCGCTACTTCCTTGCTCGTGAGCTGCAGCAGCGTGGTCAGCTGCGACTTGCGTACGTGGCCTCTGAGGCCAACACTGCTGATGTGTTCACCAAGGCACTCGCGCCTTGTGACCATCAGCGCTTCTGTACCCAGCTGGGTCTTGTGCCTGTCTTGCCTCACTTGCTCTCTTCCTGACTTCACTTGTACTGTGATATATATATATATACCTGCTCTTGCTTGTCTAGTAATATATATATGTGTCTGTACTCCTGCATGTGAACTAGCCTCTGGCCCTGCTCTTGTGCTCGGACTGTGTGGTGACTTTGTGATCCACCCTGAGCTTGCTTTGCTTTGCTTGACTGGTCTTGTGACCCCTTGTTCTCCCCCACTTTGCCTATGGGGGTGTGTCAGAACATTATAGCTGATACATGTTTGTAGGCTCTAGTGGGGTAGCACATATGGGGTACAGATTCCTAGGGTTTGTCATTTGTACCAATTTCTGACTTAGTCATTTCATTCCTCTTCTCATTGTTTCACACAAAA